CTATCATCCATAACTTGACGAGGTTTTGTTCCCCTCCCTTGTTGCCAATTTTTCTCCAGGTTTTGAACTTTTGCTAGCAATAATTCGTTGTTTTGCTTCAACACATTGTTTTTGTCACTTACTCATTCAACAGTTCTTTTGAATACATAATTTCCATTTCGCGCTGCTGTATATCTAGGTAAAGGAGTGCAGGTGAATCAGTTCCTTCAGTAAACTTACTTTTACAACACATGACTATAATATCAAATAGCGCTTCATTTTTGATTTCTCTGAATTTTCATTTTCTTTATCTCTCTCTATCATAGATAACGACGAATCACCTGCCCTCTTTATAAATATGTTCAATGTAATCTACTATCACTTTTATGTTGATTGAGTATTCTTGAGTTTTGACCAATATATTCGTTACTACCGTTTGTACATAGTATGGGATGAATTAATTGAGATTGGAAATATATAGGAGTTACATCTTTAGGTTTTAACAACAATTTATTGATGGTTCATATGATTCTGGAAGCTATTTTTATATCTGAATTTTTGAAAATTTTGCATAACTTAGGTGTCATTTCACTGATGTATGGTAAAAAAGAGAAAAGTATAGGAACTGGGGGTAGATTATTCCTAATTGTGATATTGTCAGACTGTAAAAGATTTCTATCCAACTGGTTGTTGTTATTGACTTGAACGTCAATAGTTGACGTACTGAATAAGATCTTCTTTAGGAGATCTGGATACGAGTTATTGGTAAATAATTGGAAAAGTATATTAAAGTTGTTTAAATGAAAATTTGAATTATTTGTAATAATTTTGTGATATAATAGTATCATCATATAACTTTTGTAGCGTTTGCTCGAAGATGATAATAAATTTTATCGAAATATTGAAAGAACTTGTGTTATGAGAGTACACTTCCGTTCTGCTGATTACACAAAGGTATTTCCCGAGTTTTGTTTGTAAATGAGTCCAATTTTATGAAAATCGAAAATGGTTTAGTCTTATGACGCCTTTTTTCATAAGTTTGAGGTATACAATTTTCAATACCTCCCAGTGGCTGAAATAAAATAATATTCCAAATAAATACAAAGGTATGTATAATAATAATTATTATATACATCCTTCTTTCGAAACTCCCACCCATTAGACGAAAAATCTTCATTAGCCAATGGCCATTCCTCGTGTCATGAGGTAAATGATAATACAAGAATCGTGAATATCGATCTGAAGCAAATTTTGTTATCATACGCAATATTGCATAAACACATAGAATAGACAATACCAAATTATGGTCATATTTGAATAATCTTGGCAAATTGAGTTGATTAAAATTATGTTTTTTGCTGTTCCTGAGTTTTTCAAATTTAATGATGAAAAGCTTTTCTGAAGTCCAGTTATTCAAATTAAAATTTTTGCCTCGATCATAAATAAAAGTGAAGTGGGTTTAGATACATTCCAAGCGTTAATAGGTTTAAATGCATTTATTTCTTCATTACTTTGAAATAAATTTACATCAAAATGATTCTCGTGAATAAAAACAAGTTCATTCAATGAACTCATTCGCAGAGCTATTTGTAGGACTTTGTTAATTTGTACTTTTTGGTAACAGTTACAAACAACTCGTTTGGTGCATTTTGGATTGAATAAGTACACTCATACAATACTTCTTTGGGACTTTTCAATCCTTCATGTATCCACAACATAGGCAGGTTATTGTTAATTGAACTTTTACACTGCTTACATAGAAACATCAGTTCCAAGTATTGACTCAGATATCTCCTATAATTTTAGGAATGTTCCTTCTGTTGTAAACTCATTTTTTTTAGAACCAGCATGTTCTCAAGAAGTACTATCTGCTATAAATAGATTGAGCAATTTTAACTCTGCAAGTTTCAGGTCACCTTCTCATTGACTTCGCGTACTCTAGAAAATTTCCGAAGTATTCCTGGTTGCTTCACAATTCTTCCTCAGTGTTATTTGCTTGATTGTACACCAAAGTCCCTGAATAAAATAATCAACACTGTCCAAGACTGGGGATCTAGCTGGCCATGACTCGGTTTACCCATGGCATATCCAGCGATGATGAAAGTTTTAGTTTGAATATTCGCGTGTCAGAGCACTAAAATGAGCAGGTGCACCAATCGCCCTACAACCACATGCAATTTCGCATAAAAATAGTAATCTGCGTTGTTGAAAATATCAGGTAGGTAATATGCTATAATTCCAGCCCAGAGATTTAATGAGAACTGTTTCTGGTGATGAGATTCCAGTATTGAATGAAAATTTTCATAGATTCGTCCGTGAATAAAAATTCCCTGTCATATAGGTAAAGGTTTTTCAATAACTTTTTGGAGAAACCATTTTTAGAAATTCACTCGCCAAATTATTTATTGGCAACTCATTTCAGGATTTTTGTCAACGTCCTGTTTCACATAATCTTCTGTGGGTGCTTAAAATCGTTCGAGAATCAGAAAACATTCTATTTGGAAAGTGCTTTTCATACAATTTGACAATTTTTTTTCATGAAGTATTCAAGACGTAAATAGTAAATAATATTACGTATCTAGTAAGAGAAGAGTCGAAATTGTTTTTGTTGATAACAACGAAGTTAACGGTCCAGCCCACAAAATAATCCTACTACACTTCAACGGTTGATTTCGTATATGGATAAGCAAATGAATTCATTTCATTTTCTATCTCAAAAGCCGTTCATCGGACGAAAAAAAACAGGGGACCATTTTCATGAGAAAATAAGGGGGAATTAAAAATACAATATTTATTTGTAAAAAGAACAGTGGCGTATCATGATTATGATGAAGAACATGGCAGGGCATATTAACAGGGACGCCACTGATGAACATTAAGAAAACTTTTACCATGGAAAAAAAATGTATTTTTATATGTACTGTGCATGTAAAAAACTAAAAAAAAAACAAAGCGGTATCAGAGATATTAGAGGAGAAATAGTTTTTTTGTTAAATTTCAACATCCTGTATCTCAAAAATAAAGGTGACGCGGACCTATATTCATATGAAGACTTTTTCTCAAAATCATCCAAGGATTATCGTCCTTCAGGATCACCATTCAATTATAAAACACCCTGTATCTGTATCTGTAGAGTAGGGAGGGTGAGTGTAAGCCCACGCACTTAGGCCACATGTGAATTCTTTTCCTGGTGAAAAGGACCATCTCAATCTTCTTGGGATTGATCGACAGTGAGTGTTCCTTACACCATGTTTCTATCAATTTGAGCCCATCCTGCGCTCTATCGCACAGTGTGTTTACAAATTTGCCGGTCTGCAAGATAACTATGTCATCTGCGTATGCAATTTGTAGAATCCATTTTTGTTAAGGTGATTAATTAGGGTATCCAGAACTATGTTCCAGAGAAGGGGTGATAAGACCCCTCCCTGTGGACATCCCCTCATACCCTGTATATGTATATAGTTTTCAACATGCATGGAGACGCCCTTCATAATGGAACACTTGTTTCTGGTTTTGTTAACTCTAATATGAAAATCTCACAATAAAGTGTCTCTGAATACGTTCATTGACGGCCAATTCCATAACATTTAATTTCGACTTTTGAACTAATCTCCCGTGGTTGTCCTTCCAGGTATACCAGTGGTTCAGACTCAAAAACCAACATTCTCGTCAATTTTACTCTCATTCAATAGTGAATGGTGAATATCATTAGTTCGGACTTCCATTATCTAATATGATATAATATAATTTGAAATCCTTGAAAAAACAAATAAATATGAAAAGTAAAATGAATAACCGAAAGTAACAAATATATTATGCAAAAAACCCTGAGATGAAATGATAATTAAATGAAAATAAGCCAAAAATTGTACAATCAAAATGTAATAAAAATTGAAAAATTTCAAGCCAAGTAACTTCACGACGTTTCCATTGTTAGTATCCATATCACAACGCAAGTTTGGCTGAACGCGTCGTTGGATAACATATATGCAGCTTCTTTGAACTTTCTCTCAAACCAGTGAAAGCAGTCGAATGACCTATAAATAGTCATCTCTCCAGTCATCATCCGTAGACGATTGTGGATACTAACAATCGAAACGTCGTGAAGTAACTTGGCTTAATATTTTTTTAATTTTATTTCATTTCAATTGTTCAATTTAAAATTTTTTCCTTATTTTTATTTTAATGTCATTTCATTTCAGGGTTTTTGCTTTATATAATTGTTATTTTCAGCTATTCATTTTGATTTTCAATTTTATTTGTTCTTTCAGGGATTTCAAATCATATCATTCACCATGAAACATTGTCAACCACCTTCAAAGAAAAGTAAATTCAATACTAAGTCACGAAATGTAGCAGGTGAACTAAAAAATGATTTTTCAAAGAACAGAATAATCTAATGCACATTTAATCGCTATTTGAGTTTTTTAATAAACTTGGCTTACAGAATGTTTCTGTAGATGATAATTAATGGAATAGAATTGACCAACATAACCCCATGCAACTCAGGAGTTCTTTAAATGAATACAATTTGGAAATTAAGAACTGGTAATAGTTGAAATGGATATTACACGACTCAGAGTGGAATTTACAATTGAATAAGAGTAAAAATTGTGGAACTGGGGTTTCAGAAGTTCCGCACGAATACATTTTATGAATTTTGTATCAGTGGGTAACATCATGACATACTGCACCTCTCAACATTAGCTTATTAAATCAAAATTAAATTGAAACATAAATACATCAAAGGTACTCCAAAGAGATTTAGAGGAAAGCTGATGCCTATAAATAATGTTGAAATCCACAGATTCGAGGGTATTTCAAAAAAAATGTTACTCTATAGCTGATGAAAGAAATCGCTAGACGATTATAAAGGTATCACTCTACTCCTATCAAAATTTTTCGCTAGTTGGTTTAAAAGATATCACTCTATTTCCTGGGTGGTTATAAAGATGTCACTCAATTTCGCTAGCAATTGAAATGATTTATGAAAAAATAATTCAATTAGTGAACGATTTTACCTGTAAGACGTCGATTTCGTGGTCATGATTCCTGGGACGTCTTTGCCTCAAAGGAGGTCCTACATCACATCTGCTGCCATCAGGAAAAGCGTGTAAGTAAAAGCATTTATTACCAAATGGACACTTGCCTTGTCCCTTTTTAAAATATTTGCAGTCTTTCTTAGATAAAGCATTTTTATAATCGACGATCAACTTGTCTTTGTCTTCTTTTGTATCGACCCAATACATACTTGGGCATACAAAATCTGAGGTGAGTCGGCATTCTGGACAAGCTCTGGAATGAAATATGTAGATCGAAAAGTATCCTAGCAATCGCTAATTACTAAAAATTTACCTGATTATTTTGTTTTCGAACTGTCGGGCTTGTCGCCATTTTCGGATGCAGGTTAAGCAAAAACAGTGATTACAGTTTGGTAATATCCCAAATCTTTGTTCGCCATTGGTTTTATCCATGATAACTTCAAAACAGATACCGCACGTTTTTTCTTTAGAACGAGCGATCGCAAAAGACAACTCCATATTTTTTTCGTGCTGTTTCAAACATTCCTACAGAAAAAACGAAAATAATTCGCAAAGAAATACTTTCATGAAAAATAACTGTAATTATAAATTATTTTGGCAATACCAAGACACATAAAATTTTAGATATTGTAAATATTACGGCGAAACTATACTTGTAATCAATTACTGATAAAAATAGGAAAAAATTTACTTAACGAAAACAATGTTTGTCACGATTATAATCAACTGACAGGATTAAATTCAAGAAGTGAATTTGCAAGGATATATCAGAATCACAAAACTAAATAGGAAAATATTGAAATAACTAGATGTTTTCTCGTAAAGCAGCTGAAAAATACAGTTTCATTAAATGTCCTAAAATGACACATATTGAGGAAAAATCCTCCAAATCCAAATCAAGGTTTGTTAATGCATGAAGGAAGCGAAAAATCGACACAATGATATTTGAAATGTTTTTCAGCCTCTCAATTAACTATCAATATGAATCACAAGAGTCAGCAGGGGTTATTTCTCAATGAGTCACCTATATTTGGAATGATGCTATCAAGAAACACACAGAATCTCGGGCTATTGCATAGAATATCTCCAAAGCCCGAGTCTTGAATGGGGGTATGACTTTCCAGTTCGTTTATATTCATAGCTCTTCAGTTTTCTCAAAAATCGTTTTTTATAAGAACACATTGACTATCACTCACGACTTTCAAAAGACATCTTCATTGCGACCCTTGTTCTATTGTATTGAAAAATATGAGGAATCCAATATTTTGTATCTCTGATGACAGTACTCATTATAATTTAGTTAGGAAATTCAAACACGACCTTCCTCTAAGAAGGTAAATGTATCAGAATTAAGCATATGAATCTCAGGTTATTATTTTGTGATCTGTTCACCGAACATATGAAATTATAAGAGAATGTGATCTTCACGTATTTTTTCATAGATCCAGAATATTTTGTTGACTGATTATACGCCTACGATAATAATCTAGCCAATATGACACGTTTAGAAGTTAAGGTTTTCCTAGCAGCTTTAACCGCACGAATACGGAATTCAGCATCAATTTCTTTCTCAGAAAGCTAAAACGATTCTATTTTCCTTTCCATTTCATGTAAAACTATTAATATGTATTATGATAATTCTAAAAAAATATTTTAAGTTACAATAAGAAGTAACAAGTTCATCACACCTGTTGAAATATCAAACAATTGTACTCAAAACAATATGAACACACATCACACCGCTTCAAACATTCAACAGAAATAAAAGAACCAAAAGTCCATGATTATAAATGAAATAGCACAAAACATTTCTTTGGTAGTCTTGGAGCTACCCCCCTCCCCCCAGTTCAACAAACAAACTTCTATAAAAATCTGTCCACCAGTGACCAGCGCTAATAAAATAATAAAAATCGGGCCCCACACGTTTTCAGCGCCAAATTCTTGTACCGTTTCCTTACTCCTTTCTTGATTTAGAGCAGAAAAGTGGTCAGGTCAGTTCTCGATTTTTTATAGAAATTCAATTATAAGTGCTGAAAAGGGTCACCAAATTAAAAGCTCCTGTTCGAACGTTATCTACAGAAGTTTCCAGAAATACTTGTACTCCTTTTCAATACTCGTCACTGTAGACCAACTTAGTTACACTGGGATAGGAGACACTTCATACGCGCATACCAATAAAACAAGGAATACAGTTTGAGAGTTTTTAAAGGGTTTGCATTCGTTTTATGTTGAAATATACAGAAAATTAACAAAATAATCAATACCTGATAATGAAATAAACCGTTACTTCATCAAGAAATCAGAGTCTAAGTTTTGAAATGTTCTATACTTTCCAATAGGATTAGGAAAAATAATAAAACACAGGGTCTTACCCTAGGGTTTAATGCACTAATTCTGGGTTTTCCTGCATATATTAAAGGTGTTTGCTTAATATAATAATTGTTATTTTCCCTTCTGATTGAAATCCTATTTCCAGAAACAATCAAGGGAACTCAAATACATGCAAAAATACGATTTACGTGTTCGTTTATAGAAGATACGTCCCTCCTTGCGTCGCTCGAACGTGAATTTGTAATTGAGGATCATGAGTTACTCTCAGCTCACCGGGAGTAGAATTCGCGGACCTCTATCTCTGACGATTCCATTTCTGTGAGTAAACTGAAGAAAACATTTAATTTTCCTCTAAACACAATAACTATTAATAAATCAACTGATAATGATAAACCTGCATTTCATCAGTTCAGACTTCCATTGTCTAATACGGTATAAATTGATTTGAAATCCCTGAAAGAATCTGTAAAAAATTAAAAAGATTAGCTGAAAGAACAATTTTATTAGGCAAAAAA